GTATATTTTTTATAATATGCATTCACAATAATTTTCAATATATTGTTTAAAATTCAAGTGAATGTAAAACATAATTAGTTTATTATAAAGGTCAAAAGATTATTTAAATAATCTAATCCAGTGTTTCCCAACCGGGGTGCCGTCTGTCGAGAGCAGGGGTGCCGTGTAAAAAATCCTTTTTTAATATTTTTAAATTGCTGTAGCTAGTTATAACGGTAATTTATGTATAAAAGCCTACATTAAAATCTGTCATATAAATTTGTCTCTTCGTTAGTAATTAGCCTACTGATTGCCACCATTGATGGACAAATTTTTTAAATAATATTAAAAATATCTGTATGACATTATATTCTGCAGTTCTTCCCTGCTGCCACCATTGATGGACAAATTTTTTAAATAATATTAAGAATATCTGTATGATATTATATTCTGCAGTTCTTCCCTGTTGTACCGAATATCTATACTTTCAAATTATCACATTGAAGTTAGAAATTCAAATATTGTGACAAAATTAATTTTGTAGGGTGCCACAAGTTTGTTAAAATTTCCTAAGGGTGCCGCGACTAAAAAAAGGTTGGGAAACACCGATCTAATCTATCTATCAGTCGGTCGGTCTCTCTGTCTGTCTGTCTATTGTAGTTTGGTTGTTTGTTTTTGGAAAATAGATTATTTGTTTTTCTGCTGTGATATCAAGCTGTAAATTGCTTTTGGTTCTCGATGGAACCATCATTTTTAAGAGTGTGTAAGGGACATGAAAGTGTTTCCCTCAACTTTACAAAGATTTACGTCCAAACTGATTTAGTGGACTTGTGCTAACTCTGTTATGTAAAAGGAGATCTTCAGAAATAACTGTGGTTGAACTGCGGTCCAAAATAAAATGAACTACATCTAACTCACATGCTTTCTATAACTGTCTATAGACAGCATGCAGACTGTATTATCATCCATTAAGGCAAATTAAAACAACTCGAAGTCTGAAATTAGAAAATGTTTGGGTGCATCTCTTGTGGCTGTCTGTGTGTGTGTGTGTGTGTGTGTGTGTGTGTGTGAACATGGAAACACAACATGTGTGTGTGTGTGTGTGTGTAGAGTGCATATATTTGAGTTGCCTGGGATGTTGATTGTTGCTGTCCATCAGTATGCATTATGCATTATGAATATTTGAGAAGTAGCCTGGAGCCATGAGAAATAACTATACAGCACTTTTCTAAAGGAAACAAATAGAATTCTTACTTAATGGCCTGCGTTATCAGTCCATCCCAAACACTTACATGTGTCTCTGTTTACAATTTTCCTGAGAGTACCGGTATCATATTCTCTTGTCCTCAAGATTGAACATGTTGATGTCGCCTTAAGATACAAAAGTAGGAAATTACTTCTGACATGAATCTCCATTTTTTTTGTGTGTGCTAAAGCATATCAGAAACAGAACATTATCAGAAAAAAAAAGAAAAAGAAAAAAATATATATATATACACACAACATCCCTTGTGAAAAAGAATGCTTAATTGTAATACATGTACACTTGTAGTATGCTTCAAAAAGTATATTTAAACCATTTTACTTGTAGGTAATATAATATTTATGAAATAAAAAGCCACGCAAGTGCCCTTTCATATGTTTCTTTAGTACACTTAAAAAGGGCACTTTGAAATAATGTCAGCTTAAATGTTTTACTTTAAAGTCTTGTGTTGTGTTTACAGAAGTACACTTCCTTTAATGTGGTAACTAACATACTAAAGCACATGTTAAGTTCTTGATTATAATTTTAATTAGTATGTTATTTGATATTACATTTAAAATGTATATTTTTAAAAGTACTAAATTGCAATTTCATCATTACAAATGTGTAATTACAAATATTTTCAAATACATGACAAAAAAATGACATAAAAGTATATTTTAGTTTACCATAAATGCTTGTCAGTACATATATTTCAAACAAAACAGAAGTAATTATGAAATAAAAGTTGTACTTCAGTCATACTTAAATGGGTAAAAAAAAGTAGTCTTTAGTTCTGTTTAATGCAACTAATTGCATTTAATATGTACAGTACACTACATAATTTACATAATAAGTATACTCTTTTTTTATTATATTAAAATGTCAGTAAGGTCAAAAATATCAGATCATGTGACCTTTATTATTATTTTATTAATTTATTTATTTATTTGGAAAATGATGAGAACTTTTCCCTCTGCATTATAGTTCAAAACATCTGTTGAAGCACATCTGTTTAGATCATATGTGTCTATCGTCTGAGTCATTTTCAGGTGCTGATTTCACGTTGCCTTTTGCTTTAGGCCTGTCTGTTCAAACCCGACAGACTCGTGGTTGGAATTTTGTCTCGTCATACTCTGAACATTGCAGTTCAGATGACTGTTGCTGCCACACTGCTCTTAGCAAAGTACACGCACATTTTGAGTTGTCATGATTGATCTCTGAGGAATTTGTAGTGAGTACTACAGTATATGCTAATCAAACACATTTTTTATTGGTAGCATTAAAAGTTTTCAGGTGGAAAAAGGCTGATGATTAATTCAGACAGGCTGCATCATTTTTAAAGTTGCATTCAAAATCTACTTAGCTTTCTTTACCGGAGCATGCAGGCTTCATAAACTAAACACTGTGGGCATTTTAAATCAACAGAAGAGTAGCAGTCGGCACTTTGTGTTTCATGACTCTGAATAGGATCCTGGGAAACATGAAATATTACAGTAAATATCCCATTCATCCTTAAATGTAGCCGAAAGTGTTGTGCAATCTCACGCTATATCACTATCAATCTCTCCATGGTGTTTGTTTAAGCAAATGCAGACGGTTAATATTTATACTTCATTACATAAGCATTGCACCTAACACACAATGACAGATGGCTCTACTCTGCTGATCTCACCGTTTAGCACATGGTCAGCATAAGAGGGTCAGCACATCATTAAGGTCAGTCAAGTCAAGTCACCTTTATTTTTATAGTACTTTATTGTTTCAAAGCAACGTCACAATATTCAACAGGAAAGTAGCAAAATCAATGGTGCAACTCAATGAGGCAAATCCAAAATTCTGCTATAAAGCTGCTTTAGCAACACAATAGTGTCATTATTCAGCTCTGGGCAGTTCAGTGTTGGTTCAGTTTAGTTCAATAACAGTAAAGTTCATTATCAAACAAGTTCATCTCAGCTGTGAGCAGCTCTACTGAAGACAGCAGTGTCGTTATTCAGCTCGAATCAGCTCAGTGTTGATTCAATTCAGTTCAATGACAGCTGTGACTCTGATCTTATGACTGGTCTTAATGGTCACTTGTAAACGAAATGTTTTTGATGAGTAGGCCTTATTTTAGATCTAGTTCGACTGAGGCTCAGCTGCACAAGTGCCAACATTGTCAATCTCCATCCAGAGTAAGGAAATAAAAGAGGTCAGAAGTTTAATACAAAAATACAATGGTGTTATGAGTGAGTCACTGAATCATTAATTCAACCGAAGCATTTAACAACACTGAGGGGGGTATTTACATGACACAGTTTTCAACTAAAAATTAGAACATTTTTGAAAATGTTCTGTTTATCATTGTTGTGTAAATATACCCTGATTCTTTAAAAAACAAAACAACATTACTCTGTGTTGCTCGGAAGCACGGCTCATTGTGTATTGTAATTATTATCACTGGCGCTCAGCTACACTGTAAAAAACGACCGTGAATTTAACGGTAAAAGACTGTAAAAATGCTACAGTAAAAACCTGTTAAATGGTTAACGGTAAATTCCCTTATACGGTGAAAAACTGTATTGGGCATGACATGTATTGGACATTAATTTTACGGTAGTATACCGTTTTTGGAAGTGAAAAATACCGTATAATTTACAGTGAATAACCGTAAATTGACATTCCCAGAATTCCCTGCGTTACATTTCAAATTTGATGTTTTTATGTTGAAATAACTATGTTTCTTCTTAGTTTTTTCTTATCAGTTTTGTATATTAGGGTTGTGTGTTACACCTAATGTTGTTAAATGAATGTTTATTGCATTATTTCAGTTTCATGTGTGTTACCATGATGGTGTTTGGTGTTTGTGTGAATGACACTGTGCACCTTCTATATATGTTATTATTTAAAAGCTGCTTGTGATGGGCTTTGGTTCATCATGTGACTTTCTCATCACCACCTGCATTTGGTGGTTATCAGTGTATTAAAAAGGTACAAAACAGATTTCAGTACTTCAATAGGTTGGTATATTAACATTATATCAGTTAATGAAATTACGGTATTTAACTGTAAATTTAAGTTAAAACCGTAAAACTTAAAACTTTGCTACCGTATTTTTACGGAATTTTACGGAATTTTTTTTACAGTGTATGAAAACAGACAAATCTGACCTCAGAATACTTTGTGAACAATGATGTCATTCATAAAGAGCAGTTGATTATGACAGACCAATGCCTACATACACTTCACAATTTTAGCTCTGACTCTCTCCGACAGTTCATTTAAATCGCCGACAAATGCCTGAAATCAGAGGCAAATCGATGCTCGTTTGAGTGAATGATGGTCGCTTTTTTAAGACGCAGTCTAAGAGAAGTGCTGATGCCTTGCAGATGCCCAAGAGACTCCAAGTCCTGCAGTGGGATATATGTTTTGACTGGAAATGAAAGTTATGTAGTGTGGGAAAAAAAACAGTAATACGACGACTTTGAAACTAGTTTGTGGGCGGCATTGCACAATCCGTCAGACAGGAATGACATTTGAGGTATTTATTTATTAAACGTTTTATTGAAGTGGTGAAATAAAGTTTTATAACTTTATTATATTCAATCTTTTTTGCCATCACAATTTCTGTCACCCCTTCTCTCAAGGGTTTAAAGCAGGGGTCACCAGACTCAGTCCTGGAGGGCCGGTGTCCTGCAGAGTTTAGCTCCAACCCTAATTAAACACACCTGAATCAGCTAATCAAGGTCTCACTAGGTATGCTTGAAACTTCCAGGCAGGTGTGTTGAGGAAAGTTGGATCTAAACTCTGCAGGACACCGGCCCTCCAGGACCAAGTTTGGTGACCCCTGGTTTAAAGGGTCTGACCGCACGCCACTGCAAAACGTAAAGGTAAATACTTTTAAGGTGAGAGTTCCTTGGCTCTTTATATCTGTATCTCAGTTCACAGTAATCCAAACAGTCTCTTTCTAAATATCTGAAGTTGAATCTTTTTAAACAGTATGGGAGTAAATGCTGTGTAGGAAATTCCATTGTCTCTCATTTTCTGGATTTCCTTATTTCTTGTGTGTGAGGACTGTTTAGGGGGGGGGGGGAACTTTTAAAAACAGTTTTTCTTAAGGTCATAACAAAGTGAGAGAGCATACCTGGCTTCCTTTCACGACTCATCCTTGATCCGATCTTCTGCTTATGGACTGACAAACCAGATTTCAGTTTGCCTGGTAACCACTACCAGAACAATACAGCTATAAACAGAATATCGGGAATCTCGAAATTAACCTTAATGCACAGAGATATGACTTGATCTCAGGACTTTCATCTCAGCACTCCAAAAATCTGGGATTAGGCTGTCAGCCTCTTCAGGAATACGGCTTCACCTTAAAGCCTTTATGGAAATGTTTCTTTGTGGGCAGAATAGTAAGCGCAAAGTAGATTTGGAAAAGCGGATATGAGAGTAAGTCTCCCTCAGTGGGGAAAATGTATGACACCGTAAGGCAAAAATCACCAATAAATGTGTTCTCATACAAACTCTTGTTTTTGTTCAGACAAGCCTCTTTTGCTTCATAACTTCATTTAGGTCATGAGGTGCAAATTAATGGAATGTTTTTCAGGATGCAAATATTTATTTACAATATATATGAAATTGTCTTTGGTGCTGAGTATTACATTTGGTAAACCAGATGGGTTTTTCCCTAAAAAACTGGTTGAGAAAATCTTATCTGAATGAAACATAAATAATGCTACTATTAAAATCCCACAGTGAACAATATGATTTATTTCTCTGTTTTGGCTGAAACTGGCTTTTCTGAAAACGTGCATTATCTCATTCACTAAACTGTTAACTCCCTTCAAATCAATTGAAAACAGATTTAGTAAATGAATCAGAAATCAGTCTCATTGTTTGGAAATGTGTAGAGTGCCAACAAAAATCATCACTGTCAATGACACAACAACCCAGATTGCTTATTCTTTTATATGTGTCCAACTTTAAACACAGTTAATGGAAAGAATATAACAGGAATGAAAGTGTAAGTCATTACTCTTCCTTCCCAATAGATTGTCATATCATATGAAAGCTGAAAGTACTGTATTTGGATGAAAAACCTAAAACAAAGTATATAATTCAAAGTACATGTTGTTTAAATAATTAAAAAAGAAGAATCTTATAGTAAAAGCCAATTTTAATTTTAAATTAGCTTGTAGGTCTACCCAAAATCCAAAACCAACCTAAAATCAAAACCAAAACCTCTCCACGCTATATAACCTACTAAAATCCAGAAGAAAAAAAAACATTGTCATTGATTGTATTGTGTTTTATATGAAGATTTTTGGATTTGATTATGGATTTTTTTTATGAAAGGTAAGACAATGCAGGCATGTTTTTAATTTACAACAAGTTTTTAGGTTTTGCACAACATTTCTTTAACATGTAGCATTTATAAAATAAACATAAAAAAAAACTGTTTATTTTAACATTTAATTTTCCTGACTTTTCACACAATTTGTGTAAGTACAAAAATGGGCATGACATACTATATATTAACGTTATTTTGGGGGTCAACTGTAATGCAGAAGATGCAATCATGACAGACTTGTCGAAGTTTCATTTCTCATATTTCATATGAATATTATATATAGAAATAATTTTCCAAGCATTTCTCATTAATTCATTAAAACCATGATGTCCTTTTTAAATCTGAGAAATTCAGAGGACAAAAATGATCGACTGGGTCAGAGGAGGATGACGCTTACAGGCCAAATATGTTTGAGCATTTTGGAAACATTGTAAACAAATTCCCATTTCATTTTGGTGAATAAGTCCAAATAAGGACGTGTTGGTTTAAGGACATGTATTGGGTCAGTAAAATCTGAGAATCTGTGAATGATGAACTGAGCCTCTAGTCTCATGCATGTTTGTGGAAACACAGTTTCATTTCAAAGTGATATTGATTTACAGGGTAAATCTGGATTGACGTTCGGTCTGGAATGGCAGAGTGCAGGAATAATTCAAAACGGATCTCACTGAGCACTTAATGCACAACATGCACTAGACGTGTCAGAACTTGTGTATGCAGTGACTTTGTATTGTTTGTATAGCTGAGCAACTGCTTTCACATTAAAGGGGTCATATGATGCTATTTTAAAGATCATTATTTTGTGTATTTGGTGTAAAAGAATATGTTGACATGCTTTAATGTTCAAAAAACACATTATTTTTCAAATACTGTACATTATTGTAGGTCCTCTATGCCCCGCCTCTTTCAAACGCGTCTTTTTCAACAAAGCCCCCTCCTTTGACAAGCGCAGTCTGCTCTGATTGGCCAGCTGACCCAGTGCATTGAGATTGGCCGAACACCACAAGCACACGTCGGAAACCCCTTACCATAATCGCAGCTTCAGCTTTCAAAGTAAATATCAAGACAGTTAATAATGTCTAATGTCTTACCATCAGCTTTGCGTGCACATTTGGGGGCGGCATTATGCTAATATTTCCACATAGTGATGTAGATATGTGGGGGCGTGTTAGAACGAGCCGTTTTAGGTAGGCGTGGTTGACTCTTAACTTTTATAAAGAATATCTCTTTGGATTTGAGACTTTAGTCTTTGCAACTTTACAGATCTTCTTTATGCACCAAGAGCTTGTAACACTCCAAAGAGAAAGGAAAATTTGAAATCGCATCATATGACCCCTTTAAGAGAATGTGTTAACAGTTTTTAATACATATTGTGTTTATTTTACAGTCACATTCGACAGTATCTTTTCTTGTTTGTATGACTTATAGAGAATGCACAGCTTAGAGGAAGAGGCCGTTGCTGTATCTTTACAGCTTGAAATTTGAAAATGTTTTGGATTCATGAATGATTTAACCTTTTCTTGATTCATAATATGCATAACACTGTGCTGTAATGCAATTCAGAAAGTTAAACAAATCAAAAGTAACTGATTTATTTCCATATACTGAATTTTGTCGTCTGTAATCATCTGCAGATGACACACTGGACTTGTTTGTCACAATGGATTTGCTTGCCGCCACAACATTTTATTTATGACCATCTGATTTGATTCATTTCACATATAAGTAACCTGTCAAGTGTAAAGTTACTGAGAAACCCCAATAAAAGTCTTGCCCTCTACCCTGGCTTTATTAGAAATGAAAAAAAGAAGCTTTTAAATGAAAGCAGAATGTTCTGTTCCGTTCTGAATGCTAAAATCAATCTCATCTGTATTACGGCATATAATGTGCAGAGGTAAGCCAATCCGTTTGATCCTTGAAAGATCGTTGAACCAAGATGGTTATAATTTGCTCTCACAATCAACAGACAGAAAACTCTCTTTTCTTTTGTGACTGGGCTGTCGTCAGGGGGGACAGCTGGGAATGAGGTGGTCCCACTAAGGTCCTCTATAGGACAGCCTACTAATTGGGCCCAGAAGAGAGGGGCCCACCCTTAAAAACAGAATTTTGGCGAAAGCTCTTTTTGTAGGTAAACAGATAACCAGCGTTATGTTATAGGTTATGCACAAGCAGATGTGCATCGCAGTGCATTTTCAGATAAGAAGAAATATGCATGAATTCACATTACCAGTGTTACCTTAAAAATGGACGTTGCTTTTTGGCTGTTTGCACATAAATTGTGCATAAATGTGAGAAGTTACAAAATGTCTAGGGACGGACCTGTTTATAGAATAAAGATGTTAATGTCAAACCATAACAGCAATGGAGAACTAGAACCGGATGTGTCATCTGTGTGTGTAGTTGTTTTTTGTACATATACACTAACTTATACAATAAAATTATCTGAAAAATTAATTGAAAACAAATTCATAATTTAATTTTAGCTCTTTAAATAACTGATTCAACTATGGGCACTTTTGTCCATTTAGAAAATAATCTTTCTTGTGGGCATTTTATGTATCCTAAAGCATACAATTAAATAATATTTGACCATAATGTTTGCATAATGCAACAAAAAAAGCTTGACTGGAAATACAAATTATTGTGTTTATATATTTTACCAGGATTTTTTTTTTTTTTACTTATATTCAGCAACTTATCAAATGTGAGTGTAAAAACTTTCACAATTTCAAATAAATGCTGTTCCTTTGAGCCTTCTATTCATCTAAAAAAAAAGTCCTGAAAAATGTATCATGGTTTCCACAAAAAAAAAAAAAAAAATATATATAGGGAAAGTAAAAAAAAAAAAAAACTATACATAAAAGTTATTTGAAAAGTAGAAAAAATAAATGAGGCTAAGAAGTTTACCATTTTAATATAACCATCATGTAATAAAAATAAAACAACTGAATCTGTTTTTAATAAGAATCCACTCCCGGACATACTGTAAAAGTGTCCCTAATTGAAAAAAACTTCCTAATTGAAATTTGCATTAGTTTCTCTTTATAAGATTATTTGCAAAGAAACAAAGTGCACTCCAGTCCCACTGCCAATATTTATTCATTTTAATTTAGTTGTAATAAATACTTACTCTTAGTTACAACTAACCAAAACTAAACATCATTAGTGTTTTAATAAGCAAACACAAGCCTTTTTTATCTTAAGAGTTGTCAGATTCAAACAGTTTTATGACAATGGCCTCGTGTGGCTGCATTTTTATTGACCTTAGAGACACGGGGCCACATCGGTCAAGACCTGTGCTGGTTACAAACACCCCACCTTCAGGTAGGCTGGGAGCCCAGTCTGGATCCAGAGTGTGAGGTTCAGACCCCAAATTAAACAGGACCAGGAAGTGAACGCAGCCCCATGAGCGCAGGAAAGCTAAAGGAGGTGTGGCTGTAGAATTGAGGCCAGAGGATGACATGCTGTGATTGAAGGAAAGGAAGGTGAATCTGCCAAAGTGTAGAGCCTCTTCACGGGCACGCGACTGACTCAGAG